CACTTGCGTGGAGTCGCGGTCTGTCGCAACTCGCGTTGGCGACAGCAGACTGGACCAGGTGTGGCCTGGCCGAGCCCGGCGCGGGGTGCCGTCCCGTCAAGTTTAATTTAGTGGTGTTGTGGAAGTACCTAGTCCGGGCAGGAAGGGAATCAGGTGATGGCCCCTGCAGGTGTCCGTGCCGGAAGCCCCTTAAGGGCCAACACCTGTTTCATATTTAACATTGTACCAGGGGACGGTAACCCCTCCTATTAGACCCATTTGGCCAGGGGGTGCTTTTTTGTTTTTTTGGTGGTGACGGTGGGGTTCGTTCTCTTCTCGCATAGCCCCAGCGTTTAGCGCATAACCTGGCGAAAGAAGTGAACGCTCAGTAAATGGGGGTTAAATGAACAACCGACAGTAGAGCGAAGAATGATGGAGGGGTGGGATCAGAACCTATTTTATGTTGAGGGAGCAACTTGTGCAAAAGGCCTGAGAGCAACAAGTGAGCAAGAGAGCTTCTGGCCGGCTCAGAAGGTGCAGGTATTTGGGGAGGGAGAGGGAAAGCAAGGATTTGTAAATCCTTTTCAATGGAGGTAGTAGAGAACGGTTAAAAGGGAAACACATGGTCGTGGTCACCTCATAGAATGATACCTGTGGCAGGTGAGAGATGCAGAGATTGTCTCCCTAAAATGAGTTGGGTGGGGACAGGAGGTGGGACTCCTTAGGAGGCTACTAATCATCCCAGAGCTAGGAGGTAGTCCAAACTACGGCAGCAGGAACAGAACAGATTGAACCACATGTGAAAGAGATTAGGAGGCAGAGATTTAGGACACCCTAATATCCGGATTTGGGGAGATGTGGGAGGAGTTTGAAGAATACTGATGCTTGGGTGACTGGGGTGGGTTGATCCTGTGGGTTGACTGACACACAGAGCATAACAAAAGAAGCAGGTTTGAAGATGATGAGACCTTTCACCTTGGACTTACCAAATTTGAGGTGTCCCTGGGATGTTAAGTGAAGGAACAACGCTAGGATGAAAGGGGGGGGCATTCAGTGGGTGCCTGATTTGACTCCTACACTTCAAGGCAGGATGCTTCTAGTTGGTCAGTTCTGCAAGAAACAGTGACCGGAAGAGACCAATGCCTCTCGGTTGTCTGGACCTGCTCCTTGCTCATGGTCTTTCTTTGGCATTTTTTCCATTCCACCACATTTCTGTCCAAATATTGAGCTGTGATATGTGGTGACAACTCTGCAGCTGAGGTAGAAGAGGATCCCTGGCCAACTTCACTGAGGGGTGCTTTCTCCTACTTGTTTTTCCTCTTTCTCTGGTGCGCACATGTGCCCTCTGGCAATTAAAAAAAAAAAAAAAAACAGTACATGCCCCCTGGTGGGTGATTTCTCACTTTCTGTCTATCTGGTGAGTGCACGAGTGCACGTGCCCTATAGCAAAAACCTCTGGAGAGGGTTTTTTTGGGGGTGTTCATTTTCTGGAAAGGATTTTTGCTAGAGTCTGTGAGCTCACTGGAGAGACAGAAAGTGAGAAATCACCCCCCAGGAGGGATGGCCATGCCACAATCCCTTCTCCATTCTCCTCTCGGGATCTTTGGCACGCACGCACACACGCACCTGGGGTGAGTTTAAGCCACCAGGCCCAGGACTCCAACCGCAGTCGACTACATGAGAGTCCAGCAATATAGCCATTACACCAACTGCTGGTTCCCCCCCCCCAAAAAAAATTTAAGGGGTAGGGCTGGATTCATGATACAGTGGTGAGTGTGCTGCTCAATAGAGGCCAGATCCCACTTGGCAATCATGGTTCGAATCCCTGGCCCAGTCAGCCTGAAACAAGCAGGCATGCAATGAGTGTCCAAGATCTGATGTGCTGGAAGATTGAAAGATAGGAATGCAGCACGACAAGTCCCTATGGAGGGCCCTTCTCCCTCTGGAGGATACCTCCTTCCAGTTGTGAAATAAAAAATACCCCCTCTAAAACATTGTTTTTCTTTATTCATGATAGGATGCACACGCTCTCTTCCCCTCTCTCTCTCATGAGCAGTTTTAAAGGGGGGCAATTCTTTATTTCACAACTGGAAGGATGGGATGAGAGAATGCTGGGAAAGCACCTGCCGCAGTGCAGAATGGGGACACGGCAAACACAAGCCCCTCCCTGCCTCCAGCCAGGCGAAGAGAGCAGCCGGAAAGCGGATGGTCCCGTGCCAACATGGCCAGAACAGGTGCCTGGGCCAACAAGGGCAGCAGCTCCTTTCACACAGTGGCATGATTGTTCTAGCTAGAGGAGCTGCATGGGAACGTGACTCTGGGGATGAGGGAGAGCAGGGCAGAGGCAGGAGAGGGGGCTGTGAGCAGAAGACAGTGCTGCAGAAAGCTCTTCCCCAAAAGGCCTCCTGCCTGCTAGCGTCCCGAAAAACTCTGCGGCCCACCCCAATCGGGGCTGTGCCAGTAACTCGAGGAGAGCATTCTCGGTGCACAGAGACATTCTTTGTGATGGAGTCTATTACCCTGCATTGGTGGAGCCCCCCGTGGTTCCCTCCCGTGGCGCAGCCTGGGCTCTCATTCCCATTGTTTCTCATGAGCCTCACGCCACATAAAGCACCTGGGAAAAAGCCGTCATCCCACCTGTACTGGTTTGTGTGGGCTGTGAGAACAAAAGACCACCAGTTGGGTGGCTTGAACAATGGAAGTAATTTTCTCACAGTTCTGGAAGCTGAAAGTTGAGGGCAAAGTTTCTGCAGAGTTGGTTTCCTCTGAGGCCTCTCTCCTTGGTGTGACCAGCTTCTCTTTCCCGTGTCTTTGAGTGGTCTTACCCCCCGTGCCTGTCTGCGTCCAGGTTTCCAATTACAAGGGCTCTGATTATACTAGGGGCCCATCCTCAAGACCCTGTTTTAATTGAATCATCTCTTTAAAGACTGTAACTCCGATACAGTCACAGTTTGCGTTATTGGGGACTAGGCATAAATTTGGGGAGGGGAGCTGACATAGTTCAGCCCATCATACCCTCACAGGTGAATTAACGGAGGCCTCAGAGGGTCAGTACTCGTAGTAGGTGGATACAGGCCTGGAATTAGGGCGAACGATCATCCCCCGGTCCTCCATGTTCCCATTCACAGCCCAGCCACCACTGCTGTGCCCCAGAGAGGAAGAGGATGGTGAGCAGAGGCAGTCCTCGATCTGTTTCCCTGCCACTCCTCCCCACTGATGGGAAGTGAAAGGTCAAGCTAGGCCCTGGTTAGGCACACGTGGGAGTAGGAGGGGGGTCAGAAACTCTTTTTGTTTAGAGAGAGATTTTTGCTATAGGGTGCATGTGCTTGCTGGAGAGAGAGAGAGAGAGAGAGAGACAGAAAGTGAAGAATCACCCCCCCCCAAGGAGGATGGTCACATGTAATCCCTTGTCCATTCTCTCAGGATCTTGGGCATACATGCACATGCACCTGGTGAGAGTTTTAAGCCGCTAGATCCAGAATTCCGACAGGGGTTGGCTATATGGGAGTTCAGCGACATAACCATTACAGCATCTGCTGGTCCCGCTCTCCTTTTTTAATTTGCCAGACAGCACAGGAGTGGGACAGAGAGAGAGAGGGAGGGAGGGGGACAGTGAGAAAACACTCCCATGGAGAATGGTCATGCTGATATCCCTTCTCCTCCATTTCTCCCTCCTTTTGGGATTTTGGGCATACACGTGTATCTGGTATGTTTTTCAAGCATCCGGGACCCAGGCTAGAACCACACAGTTGGCCGTGTAGGATCCAGCCATGGATACCAGGTGGCTCTAGGGCAGGACCTTTCAAACTATCTTCGGAGGAGTCATCTGGGGACCCTGTGAAAAATAAATGTTTTTAAATAAAAAGTAAACACGGAGTCATGGGGGGTGGCTAACCCAATCCACTTGTCCCTTCCACCTTGCCATAGTATTGGGTCATCTTTGCATAGAAACACATAGAAAAAAAACCATCATGACTTTTCCAATAGAATGCCAAAGCAGAGGCAAGGAGGGGCTTCAGGGGGATTTCCTGCTTACAGAGGGGTGGATAATATGAACTCTTACCTCCTTGGTACCTATGGATCCCGTATTTGGAGCAACTGCCAACATTTACAAAGCACTTACTAAGCGTCAGGCAGCCAGGTGCTTTATTGTCATTTCATTCTCCCTAAACCCATGACTCCTGTCTTCTAGTTATCCCCACTTTCTAGGAAGGAACCAAGTCCCTGGATGGTAAAGTGACTTCTGGCAGCTCAAAGATGCTGGAGCTGGGACTTCAAAGTGGACGGGCTGGCTCCAGAGCAGGCCCCTACCGCTGCACCATCCTGTCTGGAAGGCAGTCGGCTGACCTGTCCTCTCCCCATTGGCTTTAACCAGCTGCATTAACCCGACTGGCCATTCGCTGCCAAGGTGAGAGCTACCATGATGCCTGACCCTGCTCGTTGTGAGAAAGGGTAAGAGTGAGGTCTGCAATCATATTTACAATCTCCCTTCACCTCTGTGCAGGGCTGAACCTGAGGGGTGCTATCTAAGACCCCCCCCCAGGATCTTGAGGAGAAAGAGGGCAGGGGAGAGGGGATGGGGCTGGCCGAGATCCCAGCCCCATGGCCCGGCTTCCACATGGCTGCACAGGAGCTCCAGGGCAGCAGCACACAAAGGAAGGCTTTGATGCCTGTCCCCTCTCCCCCGGGTGCTTCCCTTGCCCCGCTTTGGGCCTCCTGTGAGCCTGATTTAACGGGAAACCGGGGGCGGTGAGAAGTTCCTTGTGACACACTAATCCCAACCTGCTGACTGGACCACACCTCCAGCAGAGGCAACTTTCAGAGCTCCAGGACAATTCAGGTACCAGGTGGCCCAAAGGAGGAGCTGCTGACCTGGCAGGTAAGTCAACACCAGGGGCCTGCCAGGGGAGAGGAGTTGGTGGGGAGGAACTACACCCTAGGCTGTCCGTAAAACTGAACTCACGGGCTAGTCTCCAGGTTGACAGATTGAACCAGACCCAGCCGCTGACAGATCCAGCAAATAAAAATACAGGCTAGCCAGTTAGATATGAATTCACATGAATAACAAACACTTTTTTTTAGTGTAAGTAAGTCCCAAATACTGCATGGGACATACTTATACTAAAAATGTACTTGTCATTCATCTGAAATTCACACTGATATGGGCGTTCTATATTTATCTGGTCCTAGGTAGCAGGTAACAGCACTGGCATGGTTTGAAGAGTAGGCATTTTCTTTCATTATATACAGCTTGGAAATCAATTTTTTAAAAAAGTTAACGGCTTGGGCATGTTTGAAAAAAAATTTCCGTACTGGCTTGGCGTATTTCTAAGATCTAGGGTCTTGTCGTGATGGTCTGCTAAGCTGACTGGAGGTGCCAGTCACTACTAGCCCTCCGGCCTATGCTCCTCTGTCAGCCTCTCTATTAAAACTCAAGTGATGACTGAGCAGCAGCTCAGTCTGTTTGTCCCTGTGCCCCATATTTGGACACCTACCACCCTGACTGATGGCTTCAATTTGGTTCCTATGAGCAGATTACAGCCCTGGAACTCCTGTGCCCTTGTGAGGTCTATCCAGTAGAAAGGGCAGGAGATGGAAGATCCTCAGATATGCCCCCAGGATCTTCAAGTCTATGTGCAAATTAGGGGAAAGATCAGTAGCATGCTAAGAAAAAGGGAAGGCGAGGGCCAGCAGGTGTCATGGTGGTTAAGGCACTGGATCCCACATGGCTGAGTATACAGTTTGAGTCCAGGACCTGGTGGCTTGAGAAAGACACCAGGCACATGAGACGAGAAGGGATTGTGATGTGGTCATCCTCCCTGGGGCAGGGATCGGGGGGCATGCTTTCTTACTTTTCCTCTCTCTGTCTTTCTCAGTTGAGTACATGCGCTCTATAGTAAACTAAAAGAAAGAAAGAAAGAAAGAAAGAAAGAAAGAAAGAAAGAAAGAAAGAAAGAAAGAAAGAAAGAAAGAGAAAGAAAGAAAGGTAGAACTATGTTTTAGAGCAAGACACTGTCAGGCGCATTATAGAAATGACAGTCTTCATGATAGTTCTTTTCGGTAGGTACCGTTATGCTCAATTTGCAGATAAGGAAACTTGAGGACCAGAAAAATTAAATAGCTTGCCTGAGGTCACTCAGGCAGTAAATGACGAAGCCTGATTCAACTCTGGGTCTCTCTGATCAGCAAGGTTTCTACCATAATAGCTTTCCTAGAGAGTTTGCATAGAGAAATCTTGACTCTAAATGTCAAGATAGACATGATGTCAGGCAGACATAGGTCCAAGTCCTGGCTCTGCCACTTACTGACTGAGTAGGTGACCCAACTGATCACTGGGACCTGGTCAGAAGCAGGAGTGAGAGGGTGAAGGGTCTTTGAAAGCACTGGGGACATGTAGGCAGGAGAGGAGGAAACCTGGACGTGGAAGAGCTGCCTCCCAGAACACCCAGTGGGGAAGCACATCGTCACGTGGGCCATGGGTGAGGTTTGCTGGTGGCCAAGCACTGTGACTGAGTCGGCTCTTCAATCACATCTCATGACCCTTTCATCCTGTCTTACAGAGGACAACCGAGACTCGGGCCACATCACGCAGCCACAAGTGGGAGAGACTGAATCTGAACCCAGGTCTGACACTGGCGCTGCCCCGGGTTGCCTCTTGGTGCTGATAGGAAGTGGCCACTTGGGTTGAGTCCTGACTCCTGGGCTGTGCTGGGTTGTGTTACCTCGGATGAGACATTTATTCTCCTGGCCTTATTTCTTCCCCTGTCCAATGGGACGAAAAACGTCAGCCCTGGCTCTGAGACAATGGCTTTGAAAATACCTTGTGCATCACAGAGCCCAGAATGCATGCCCAACATCATGGTTATGTGACTGGGCAGCACCCCTCCTGAGAATGAATGCACTTGGGAAAGGGCCATGCCCTGTGCTAGGGAGTGTGTGAGGTTCCTCCCCTACTTTGGACTGCAGAAGGAGGGCTGTGGAAGGGGGGAGGAGGGCTCACCCTACCTGCAGTGACCACAGAACTGAGAGTGTAGCCCGATGCAACGTTCTTCCCGGCCGAGCCAACTCACCCAAATGGCTGTGATTTGTAGTATTTGTACATGTGTCCCTTCTCCAAGCAGTGTTTCCCAATGTATAGCCTCAAACCATCTCCTTCAGAGCTACCGCAGCAGTGAGTGCTTTAAGTTCCAGGTTCCTGGGTCCCATCCTAGACCCCCAGGGTCAGAATCCCAGTGGGTGGAGGAAGCAGGCACCTGCATTTCTAACAGACACCCCCTGTGATTCTGATGGCCTTGAGTGTTTGAGAGCCACATCTCTGAGTCGAGTTTCTCTAAAGTCACTGCATCCCTGACTTTTTCTCCTAGGAAAGGAGCCATCTAGAGAGACTAGTACAGAGGAAGCAGGATCCTTCTTTTCCCAGGAATTTCGTATCTTCCAGAGGCAATATGTCAGAAGGGGTGAGTACCCTGTTCTCCGGGGCTCCCCTCCATTCTCCTTTCTTCCTTCCCCGTCTCCCTCTCTCCCTACTTTTCCATCATCTGCTCTGCCCATGGTTATAGGCACACAACCCTGCAACCTCTTTATGGGCTCTGATTCCCCCAAGCAAGGAGGCTTAACAATGGCCTTGGGCAAAAGCACTAGCGTTGGGTCTGAGCGGGCCATCTGCCTGGCTCACTCTGGCTGCTGGGGCAGGGAGACTGTCCCTGCTCCTTCCTGACGCCTCTCTGCCCAGGTGGGCACATTCCGCATGGTCACTGAAGAAGAACAGGAGCTCCGAGCCCAACTGGAACAGCTCACAACCAAGGACCATGGGCCTGTCTTTGGCCCATGCAGCCAGCTGCCACGCCATACCTTGCAGAAGGTGAGGTAACTGGGGATGGAGGGAGTGGCAGCTTTGGGAGGCAGTACAGGGAGGGACGTGACAGCACCCCCTCTCCTGTAGAAAGGGTCTCTCCCCAGCTCTCCAGCTCATCCTGGACTGACAGACTGGCCTTTTCTAGGGCCATCCTGGATGTCAGGGCCTTGACAGGAACCCCTGGGCTAGGGATTATCCTGGGCTCAGCTATGAGGAGCACTGATTTGGAAGGAGCTCTGAAGAACAAGGATCTAACTGCTGTTCTGACTGATCAGGCAAGAGTTTGTTCTATTGGGTCGATGGAGAAGCCATGATGCATTGTTTGCATAGAAAAACATAGAAACACATGTCATGACTTTTCTGACGACCCAGTAGAATCAGACCTACTTCCAACTTGCTGTGTGACCTCCAGGAAATTGCTTTCCTCCTCTGGGTTTGCCTGCTGTCACTGAATGATGGTTGTTGGACTAGCTTAAAGAGGTTCAGACTGCTTTATGGAGGTCAGCAGCCCTGTCTTGGAGAGAGGAGAAGCAGCTGAACTGAGTCTGTGCTCCTGGCTCCCATCTCTGCTTCTCTAAGCATCTCAAGAGGAAGATGTTTGCTCCCTCAGCCTTAACCTCTAACCCCTTCCTACCGCCTGAAGTCCAAGCAGAGAGCTACCCAAGGCTCCCTGAGTTCTCCTGCCCAGTGAAGGGGAGGAATATGAGAATCTGGGGTAGGAGTCACCACTTGCCAGAAATATTTGGGTTTTGTTTTATTTTCAACTTACCCAAGGACACATATGCTCCCCAGAGAGAGACAGAGGGAAAGCAAGAAAGCCTCCCCCATGGGCCAAGGTCACCGGGTCCAGGACTTGAACCGCAGTCGACTACATGGGAATTCAGCGACATAACCATTACGCTAAGTGCTGGTCCCAGCCCATTGGGTTTATCCTACAAATGAACGAAGGGGAGCAGTTGGACCTGATCTCCTCCAAACGGCCACCCCAGGTGGTGCCAGCGCAGCTACAGGCCCCATCGCCTCTGCGTCCTGCTCCTCACACACATTTACCTGCAACTTCGTGTCCACACCCCACCTTGCCCCAGGCCAAGGATGAGCTGAACGAGAGAGAGGAGACCCGGGATGAGGCGGTGCGAGAGCTGCGGGAGCTGGTGCAGGCTCAGGCAGACTCCGGGGAGGAGCTGGCCGTGGCCGTGGCCGAGAGGGTACGCCAGAGGGACAGCGCCTTCCTCCTGCGCTTCATCCGTGCCAGGAAGTTCAATGTGGGCCGCGCCTATGAGCTGCTCAGAGGTGAGGCTGGACCTGGAGGGAGAGCCCAGGACAGACAGGAGGCGGTCACAAGGGTGGTGTTCAACCTCACACAGGCACTAAGGAGATTCCCTTCCCTTCGGTGCACAAGCCACTCCCAGCGAGCCTTTGTATGCTAATCTGTAAAACCAGAGTGCTGAGCTAAACAGCCTCCAAGACCCTTTCAGCTCTGAAGGTGGATGAATGAATGAATGAATGAATGATTGAATGAATCTGTCAAGATCAGGTTCCTGGAGGGTTGTTTCCACTCTCCTCTCTCCCACTCTTGATACGCAGCGAGTAGCACGGGAATGCTTAATCTGGGTAACGAGGGAGGGATTTACCTGCCAGCCTCCCTGTCATCCAAGGCTTTGGCCCTGGGATGCGGCCGAGAGATGGGCCTGTGTCCCCCTCATCCCAGTTGCCTAAACCTCGTGGGCCTGGCAAGTGAAGATGGGGCCAGCTCTGGGAATGAGCACACGGCCAGAACTACCCCTTGCTGGAGGAAGAGGTGTCCTAAGAAAAAGGTCAAGTGTTTGGTGCTGTGGGGGCAAGAGCGTCTGAGCAGGCCCTCGGTGGCCTGGTGGTTTGCCTTCTTCCTCCTTTCCCAAATGTTAGTTCAGTGCCGAGCTGCGCCAACCAAGGTTTTAGGCCAAGGGACGCAGCAGAGAACAACACAGACAAGAATCCCCTGCCCTTGTGGGATGTATGTTCTAATAGTCGAAGTAAAAAACTGGATGAAGAAAACCAAACGGCAGAGGGGTAGGAGAAAAACGCAGGCGGTGGATATCAAGGGCGGAGGGGTTGAAGTTTTTCTTTTAGAGGTGTGCTCTCACTGGAGTGAGAGACAGAGACAGTGAGAGGGAAAGTGAGAAATCAACCCCCGGTGGGGATGGCCACACCGCAATCCCTTCTCCATTCTCCTCTCGGGATCTTGGGCATGCACGCACATGTGCCCAGCATGAGTTTCAAGCCACTGGGTCCAGGACTCAGACCACAGCTAGCAATGTAACTGCTATGCCATCTGCTGGTCCCAAGGGGTTGAAGTTTTAGGAGGGCCCCAGAGCAAAGGGAACTTTTGAAGAAAACCCAGAAGGAAATGAGGTATCTGGGAGAACAGCAGTCTGGGTGGAAGGAATTTCGGTGGATGTGCCCAGAGTGTTCTGGACCAGTGAGGAGGTTGGCGTGGCAGTCCCTTAGCAATTGTCCCCCAAGCACCTCCTTCAGGAGCTCAAGTCTGGAGGCCACAGAGCTGCTGCTGGAAACAGGAAGGGCCTCTGTGTCCTGCCTTGGGGTTTGGATTTTCTCTGAGGCTTCCCCACCCCAGCTGTGCCCATACCTCCACTCAGCTAACCCTGAGCACAGATGAAAAACCGTACTTTATTCCTACAGAAGACAAAATAAGTAATAATCATTCCATATGTAGAGCCATTGGTATACTGCATCTTATGTTTGCACAGTTTATAACCGTGTTCACGCCATGAATCTCGTTCAACTGCCATAATGTGGAGAGAAAGGACAAGACTATTATCCTATTTTTTGGAGTGGAAACATGGGGCTCATCTAGGTTGACATTCCTGTGCTGTTACACACAGGAGCTACGTGGCAGAGCCAGGCAGGTGTCTGGGTCTTTTTTTTTTCTTTTTTCTTTTAGGTTTTTGCCATAGAACATGTGTGCTCGTTGGAGACAGACAGAGAGAGGGAAAGTGAGAAATCATACCCCGGGGGATGGCCATGCTGCAATCCCTTCCTTTCCATTCTCCTCTCAGGACCTGGAGCATGATTCCATGTGTCCCTGGCAAGATTTTCAGGTCACTGGGCCCAGGACTCAAACCACAGTTGGCCATATGGGAATCCAGTGCTTGAATCACGCTGCCACCTGCCAGCCCCAGGGCCCAGGTTTTTCACTTCCTCCAGGAGGTGGTGTGGGGCAGGGACAGAATGGTCCTGTGGGAGCTTCCCCCATTCTCCTCCTCTAGGTTACGTGAACTTCCGGCTGCAGTACCCTGAGCTCTTTGACAGCCTGACCCCGGAGGCCGTCCGCTGCACCATCGAGGCTGGTTACCCCGGTGTCCTCTCTAGTCGGGACAAGTACGGCCGAGTGGTCATGCTCTTCAACATTGAGAACTGGCAATGTCAAGAAATCACTTTTGATGAGGTCAGTGGGGGCTCACCTGGTCCCTCCAACCCCAAGGGTTGGCTTCCCTTCCCCAACCTTGGCCTCTACTGGACCTTCATTCCTGATCACAAGGGAACAAGGGAGGGAGGGGGAAAGGCTGTCAATAACCCCTTACAAGGCAGGGGTTGAATTCCTAGGATGTGAAAGAGCAGCTGGAAAACCCAGCTGCTTTGCAGGCAGGACCTGCTGGCCAGTACCACACGGCCACCTCTGGGTATCCTCCCAAGTCAAGCTAACAGCTAGGGACCACCGTTGGAGTCAGCCCCTCCAAATGCTGAAAACTGAGAGCAACAGAGAGAACAGGGATCAGTAGACCATGGACCGGAAGGGCTTCTGGAAAGCAGGTTCCAACCTCTTTGGCAGCTGGAGTTCTTTACACTTAAATGCAGTTTTGCTTGTCTGCATCCTTCTACCAATGATCTTACCTATTTTTTTCTACACACACACGTGCATAATTTTTCGTATTAAAATGTGATCATACTCTACAGTAATACACCATGAACATGGCTTATTAATCTTCTATATCATTTTTAACTGCTCCAGGGTATCCCGTGACAAAACTACCATGATTTCACCAGTTCCTCATTGTTAGACATTAGGTTATTTCCAGTGTTCCCACTATTCTCACAGTACTGGGATAAACACTCTGGTATCTAACCTCCCTTGCCACACATTTACAGAGGTGAAATGGGCCAGGTCAGAGCCTGTAGCAAACCACCTCCAGTACAGACCATGCTCCAGTGAGTTCTCCCCTTAGGACAATGGACCTTTTGTCTTTGTGGATTGGATCTTACAGTTGTTTCCTTCTGCCCAAGATCTTGCAGGCATACTGCTTCATCCTGGAGAAGCTACTGGAGAATGAGGAAACGCAGATTAACGGCTTCTGCATCATTGAGAACTTCAAGGGTTTTACCATGCAGCAGGCCGCTGGGCTTCGTCCGACTGATCTCAGGAAGATGGTGGACATGCTCCAGGTGAGGCCCTAGCACCCGCTCCGTGGGAACCTCTCGCAGGCTTGGGAGTTGAGAAGGCGACCAGCTGGCACTTTATAAAGAGCAGTGACAACCATAATTCCAACCACAAACACTTGAATGGTGATCAACTGTTGGCCAAGTATTGACCTTCATTATCTGATCGGCTCCTCAAGGGCATTCTTTCTCTGCTTCCCTGCTTCATTTTGCGATCCTGGAAACTGAGGCTCAGAGGATTAAGTGACTTTTCAAGGTCACAAAAAGAAGCAGAGGCCAAGTTGAACCTACGTCTTCTGATCTGGGATCCCATGCTCTCTGTCCACATATATCTTGCTACTTCTCTGTGTGAATTTGCCCTGAGGAAAGGATACCATCAACCACCCAAAAGCTCACCCCTTCACATACTGACCTGTTAGGAGTTCTTTTTTATTTTAGAAAGGTTTTGCCATGGGGCACATGTGCTCACCAGAGAGACAGAGAGGGACAGAGAGACAGAAGGCAAGAAATCACCCCCCTCCAGGGGGGGATAATCACGCCACAATCCCTTCTCCTTCATTCTCCTCTGGGGATTTTGGGCAAGCATGCACATGTGCCTGGCGTGAGTTTTAAGCTGCTAGGTCCGGGACTTGAACCACGGTTGACTACGTGGGAGTCCAGTGACATAGCCATTACACCATCTGCTGGTCCCAGGAGTCCTTTCTTAGAGCTACCTTAGATCTGCTCTCTGTGTATCTGGAAAAGGAGGGGTGGGAGGTATAGGTTGTGGGAGGTGCTGAGGACAATGAGTCACGGCTGTGGTGTTCCTGTGGTCTATAAAGGTTGCAGTCCACTCAGCAGTCAAATGAGTTTGAAAAAAAATTCAGTCATGGACAAGCCCCATTGCTTAGTGGTTAAGCGACCCAGATCCCACATGGCTCACTATGTTTCAAACCCTGACCCCAGCAGCTTGAAAAACATGCTGGCATATGTGCATTTGTGGCCCCAAATCCTACCTAGATAAAGAAACTGAGGAGAAGGGATTGTGATGTGACCACACCCCATTAGGGGGTGCTTTCTCCCTCTCCCACTGTCTGTCTCTCTCTCATTCTCTGGCGAGCGTACGTGCCCTCTGGCAATTACAAAAATGAAAAAAAAAAATAAAAGAGAAAAATTCAGTCACCAAAACTCAAGCAAGGCTGCCACTTCATTTCTCTTTTTTAATAAATTCATTGCAGGTGGGGCCAGTAGGTGGCATGGTGGTTAAGCACTAAATTCCCACATGGCCAACTGCTGTTTGAGTCCTGGATGTGGTGGCTTGCTTTCTCACTTTCCCTTTTTCTGTCTCTTTTCTGGTCAAATTTTCAAAATAATAATAACAAAATAAAACAAAATAAATAATTCTTTAAAAGAAAAATTTACTGCAGGGTGAGTGCACTCACTGGAAAGATACAGACAGAGAGAGGGAAAATGAGAAATCACCCACCCGGGGGAATGGCCATGGTGCAATTCCTTCTCCATTTTTCTCTCAGGATTTTGGGCATGCATGCACACGTGTCTGGTGTGTTTCTCAAGCCACCAGGTCTGGGACTCAAACGGCTCAGTAGGCCAGATGGGACCCAGTGCCTTAACACCATGCTAGCGACTGGCCCAATCATTTCATTTCTTTACCTAATTTAGGGGTGTTCTGTGAACCGCAGGAAAAGGTCTGGGCTGTGTGACTTCTGTGGCCTCCTCCCTGCAGTTTGGAGCCACTATGAAGCCAGGGCTCCCTAGTTAAGCTGGGACAGAGGCTCCAGTGGGCTGTGTGTGGTGCTGGCCTCGGCTGTCCTATGCTCTGGGGAGAGGGAGGAGCCTGAGGCCACTGGGCCGAGGAACAGGGTTCTGGCTCTCTTGCTGCAGGACTCCTTCCCAGCCCGATTCAAAGCCATCCACTTCATCCACCAGCCGTGGTACTTCACTACCACCTATAATGTGGTCAAGCCCTTCTTGAAGAGCAAGCTGCTCCAGAGGGTGAGTGCAGGCCTGCCCAGGGGTGTGCCCAGTGAGCAGATGTGGGGCTGCAGCAGGAAGGAGGGAGAGGGTGGGGTGTGGTGAGGACTCCACCCAAGCCCTCAGGCCGCACTGTGGTCCTGGGCTGAGCAGATCCCACTGACAGCACGACACGGAGAACTGAGGAGAAGCATGTCACGGGCCCAGGTGGCTGGCTGTGGCTTTGTCCTCCTGTCCCTCTCCCCCTTCCTTCCTCCTCCTGAGGGCACTCCTGCTCACGCTCTGTCTGCCTTGCTTCCCTGCAGGTCTTTGTCCATGGAGATGACCTCTCTGGCTTCTACCAGGAGATTGACGAGAACATCCTGCCCTCTGACTTTGGGGGCACACTGCCCAAGTACGACGGCAAGGTGGTTGCTGAGCAGCTCTTTGGTCCCCGGGCCCAGGCTGAGAACACAGCCTTGTGAGATGTCACCTGCCATCTGAACTGTAGTTAGCACCCCTGGCTTCTCCTCAGCTGTCCTGGATCCAAGGCTGGAGAAGGCCGCCTGAAGCTCCCTAAGCTCGGGTGACCTCAGGTGTTACCTTGCTCTCAAAGTTGGGGGGAAGGGGACAATAGAGCGGGGCAGGGGCAGGGGCACAGGGAGTTCCTTTAAATAAGAATTGAAGGCAGCGATTTTCTCACCTGTCTCTGAAGCTTAAGGACAGTGATTTTTGTGTGAGGTTCAATCTCAAAGACTCTAGTTAGGCCTTCTCGATAATTTCCTTTATAACCTATGTAGGGTCTGTAAAAACAAGCGAGGCAGCTGGGTTAAAAGCACCCCCCTCAAAAAAAAATAATAAAAAGAAGATAAAAGAGGGAGGATATAAGTTCAAATGATTCGGCAAACGCAGTCAACTCGGTGGCTTGTCAGCGGGCGAGGGGTTCCGCACAGACTCTCAGGGTGGGAGCAGCCGGAAGCAGCTCCATTCTGGGGTGTCCTGTTCCTCTCGGTCAGATGCATTTGATGTGTGTCATGACAGTCGGGACCTTGGATCTCTTTCCGAGGTTCAGTCACGTGCCCTTCCATCTGTCCGGGGGGCTCTCACCACAGAAGCACTCTCCTTCAGACCCCTTGCCTCAGTGGATGGATTTACTCAGCTCTGGAGGGGACATCTGCTCTGAGCGGTCACCCTCACTTTCTTCCGGAAGAGCTCTCCTTTGTCCTCGGTCTCAGGCACTTCACAGGGATAAACTCACACTTTCTGAGTCTGCGTATTTTGATAAATACAGATGCTTTCCTTCTATGGAGTTGGTTTTCCTTCCATGGAGCTGGCTTTCCTCCAGGGCTTGGTGGTTTGGAGTGTGTGCTCAGATTCATGGGTGTAATCCCTGTCAGAAGCTCTGTTTGCGACCTGACCCGGGTACTCACTCCCTTTGGTGGACGTGCTGGCCGCCTCTGGGCACTGAGATGCTTCACTGACTTCCCACCTGGAAGCAGACGCTGCGTCCTGCTGTCTGGCTAGTGGGGGGGAGGTGAGGGTTGACCCAGCCTGCCTGTTCCTACTGAGGTATTCCATCGAGTCAACCCAAACTTGTCTGCTTTTGCCTGTGGGGTTCTTTGCTATTTTCCAAAAAGTTGAGACTCCCCTTTTGCAAATTAAATCTTACATGGAATCTTGGTATTTAAACTGAAAGAAGAGTAAAGCTGCTCTGATTGAAGGGAGCTTAGCAACTTCACTCTCCTCACCCTGAAAACATCTGGAGTTCAAGTACAAGAGCCTGGGCAGGGGCTGGCAGGTGGGATGGTGGTTAAGGGCGCTGGACTCCCACATGGCTGACTGCAGTTCGAGTGCTGGACCTGGTGGCTTGCTTTCTCACCCTTTCTCTTTCTCTCTCTGGTCAAATTAAAAATTAATAATAATAACAAATGGAATTAAATAAATAGATAATTATTAAAAATACAAGAGAGTTATATCCCAAATCTGAAGGAAACTGGTTGATCCCTGTTGGTGGGCTCCCAGCTTACTCCCAGTGCCTAATTATGAGGACCACTTGGAGCCTGGGCCCATCCTGTGGCAGCTCTAAATCTACCTGTCTATTTAATTTGCTATAGGGTGCACGTACTTGCCAGAGAGGGTTGAGGAGATAGTGAGAAATCGTCCCCATGTTCAACCCTCCAGATCCAGGACTTGAATTACACAGTCAGCCATGTGGAATCCAGCTGCTTTAACCTCCATGACACTGGCTGGCCCAAGCAACTCTAACTTTATAAATAATGTAAGGATGTGCAAAAAACTTCAGGCAGATGCTGACCCGAAGGCTTTTGGGCAGCTTGGACAAACACAAAAAAGATGTTGAGGTTCCCCCTCATAAGTCAGCAGAATCTTAGCCTAAGGGCCCGCCTGACAGAAAACTCAGTGGCCTTGTAAAGAAGCCATAGGGTCTGGACCCACTGAGCCACCTCTGTGGGCTTGCACTGCCCTCTGCTGGCCTTGCCCTGGCACTGCCCCTCCAGGGACAAGCTGTGTGTAGGGACAAGAGCTGTG